CAACTAGTAATACCAAGTACATATTACTGGGCCAATGGTAATACCAGGTTAATATTACTGGCCAACTAGTAATACCAAGTACATACTAGAACCACTCGTGGTACTGAGTGGGACTTTGCTCTTGCTAGAGAATCTGAAAAAAATCAACGTTCTTAGCCAAATAGGTCACGTGCTAAAGCAGTAAAATTTTTTTGGAAAATTTCGCTTTTTTGGAAGGTTGTGAAAGCGGAAGTTGAATCAGACATAAAATATGAAAGTATGATTAATTTCCAAGGTCAATGACCTTTGACCATGTTAAGGCGAAGGTCATTTAAGGTCAACGTCACTAGATATGACTCGTCAAACTTTGAAAATACAAACATTATAAATCCGGAAGTTGACGATGAACATCAAATATGAAGGTATTAATCTTTAGCCAAGGTCAATGACCTTCGATCCTACAAAGGTAAAGGTCATCAATAGGTCAAAAGTTGAAAATATTTTTTGAACTACGAAGCGGAAACAACTGACCTTTTCACACAAAATGGCCAAAGGGGTGAGGTGATTGTGTGCACGGTCCTGTTTTGAACAAATGTATTTTATACTAGTTATACCCCTGATAAAAATGTAAATAATAAGTAATTGAATCCTAATGTGCCACGCCCACCTCAACTTAAGTCTACTTAAGTCAACTTGTCATAAGTCATAATTTATATTTAATATGTCTCGTTGTATTCCAAATTCCAAGCAAATAGGTCATAAGAAATACATACACCCAGCTCAAAGAAGCTAACATATTGTAAAAAACATCGAAATTTCAAAAATTCAGAAATTTCAATTTTGCATTATATATCACTGGAAAGAGCACGATGAGCACATTCAGAATCTACAAAAATTTACCCTCAAAGTTAATTAGGTCACGAGCTAGAGCAATCCAAATTTGCGAATTTGGCTGCTTTTGGACAGCTATAAGACCGGAAGTAGACGTCAGAGGTCAAATATGAAAGCATCAACTTATAGCCAAGGTCAATGACCTTTGACCTAATAAAGGTCAAGGCCATCAAAGGTCATGGTCAAAAATGGAAAATTGTGAATTTCCAAAACCTGTTCCTTTTTTGAATTATGAAGCTGAACTAATTGACCTTCTAAGACAAAGTGGCTCAAGGGATGATGTAATTTTGAGCAAAGTTCCATTTTGAACAAATGTATTCTTTGTGAGTTATGTTTCTGGCCAAAAATGTCAATTATGTGTAATTTAACCCGGATGTGAATTTTTTTTGCATAGGTTAATTGATATTCAAAATGTAATATTATGTTCAAAATTTTAAGCTTCTACATCATGCAGGTCAAAAGATCAAAGGTCAAAATCGAAAATTGAAAATATGGAAATTTTAAAACCCGTTCCTTTTTTGAAACTATAAAGCTGAAACAACTGAGTTGTTAACACAAACTGGCCAAAAGGATGAGGTAATTGTGTGCAAAGTCCTTTTTTGAACAAATGTATCCTATGCGAGATATGCCCCTGC